GAGGACTAAGTTTCACTTGGCCCAAGCCATGGTATTTTAAATAGCTTCATATGCATATGAAAGTTGGGCAATGAATACGCAAGACTGTAGAATTGATGCATTTCAGTTAAGGTGTTGGAGAAGAATATTAAAAGTACAATGATGGACTGCCAGAGGAACAAACATATCTATGTTGGAAGAAGTATAGCCAGAATGTTCCTTAGAAGCCAGGATGGCCAGATTTTGTTTCTCATACTTTGGATGTATTATCAGGAGGGACCAGTCCCTGGAGAAGGACATCATGCTTAGTAAAGTGGAGGGTCAGCAAAAAAGAGGAAGACCTGCAACAGGATGGACTATAACAGTGGCAGCAGCAATAGGCTCAAGCGTAGCAATGATTGTGAGATTGGCACAGGACTGGGCAATGTTTCATTCTGTTGTGTGTAAGATCACTATGAGTCGGTACCAGCTTGACAGCACCTAACAACAACAACAACAACAACAACAACATCACCCAAGAGTCCTGGGGTGGTGCTGCAGGAAAAGCACTGGACAGCTAATTGCAAGGTCAGTGGTTCAAACCCATCAGTCACTCCTTAGAAACCCTATACAGGGTTGCTATAAGTTGGAACTGACTCAATGGCACACAACAACAACAACAACAACAGCAGCACCCAGGGACCTAATGCCAATACCTGTTGATTTCAACTCACAGTGACCCTATAGGGCAGAGTAGAACTGCCTCTCACAGTTTCCAGGCAGCAGACTGCCACAGCTTTCTCCTGTGGAGCGGCTACTGAGTTTGAACCACTGACTTTGGGTTAGCAGCCAAGTGCTTAACCATTGTGCTACAGGGCTCCTCTAATGTTGGTTATAGTTATGTGCCATGGAGTAGGTTCCGACTCATAGCGACCCTGTACAGGGTTTCCGAGGCTGTAAATCTTTACGGGAGCAGAACGCCTCATCTTTGTCCCACAGAACAGCTGGGTATTTAGAACTGCTGACCTTGCGATTCGCAGCCCGATTCATAACCACTATGCTACCATAGGCTCCTCTAATGTTAAATACAACTTTATTGAAGGCTGATTTTGTCTTATCTTTTAAATGCCTGGAATTATTTACATTTTTCTCTGTGGCATTTACTTTCAAATTTACTTTCACAATTTCTTCATATAATTTTAAGGGAATATGGGCCTCTCCTAGGACTGTAATGGAGAGATATATTTTGTATATTTTCCTGCTTTAGGAATTCCTTTTAAAAACCCAGGTGTCCAGTCAATTAAAGGAATGAGTGAGTAAGAGAATCATGAATTCCTTATAAGAGTTGACTTCGGAAAATGACAAAATGCAATGCATGTTAGCGTATTGCTTTGGTGGGAATATGTGATTTAATAAAAAAATAGTTTTGTATCTTTAAAATGCTTTCTCTGGTGCTAAAACAATACAAGATACATCATCATCAAACAATTCTGTTTTTTCCAGGAAATGTCTTGGTACATCTTTAATCTCCAAATGACTCCACTCAAGCTATTAATTTTCTGGTCACAGGCGATGTGACCCTTTTCTTACTGGATAAAGAATTTGTTTTGCCTGTAGGCAAAGTGCAATAATGTGTTGGTAGGACTTCAAGTAGAGGCTATCATGAAATATTCAACAAAGTCTAAAGAACAGAAGTAAGTCACAGAAATGGAAACTTCCTTGTGTTGTGTTTGGTTGATGAAAGCTGCAGTGATTCCAGGGCTTGGTCTGGTGAGTAAGTCAGAAGACACGATACGGTAGGGAGGGGGAGTCACAAAGTGTGACAAATCGGAGGAAGGCAAATATGAGCTGGGAAGCCCAGTTCTAAAGGTTGCTGAGGATAAGGTAAGAGGAAGAGGCAGGAAGTGGCAGAGCTAGGGTAGGAATAAGGTCACGAGAACAGAGGTCAGGGTCATATTATATAAGTAACAGGTGCTTAAACAGGCAGGACGTTCTACTGGAAGAAAACAGATAGGTACAGATGTAACGGAACCGTAATGTAGCCAGTGTGGTGGGAAACTGAGAGAATGAAGCAACTAACTTAGCAATAACTCCAGAGAAGAGGACAAGCTGGCTGAGTTAATGACTTTCAAACCTTACCTGCAGCCCCTGCCCAGCCTCTCATGAGCTCCAGATCTACATTCCCATCTGTCCACTTATTCTCAGCCCTGCGTGGATGCCGCATGGGTCCCATGGGTTGACCGTAAGGGGTCAAGGTGTGGGTTAAGGAAGGTAGGGAGCTTTCCTGGCAGAGTGAACATAGAGACACAATGGCACTGAGTTGTGTGGCTGGAGGTGGTGTCTAACTGATTGGATTTGTTTCTAGGAGGTTACTCTCACAGTGCTAATGTTGGGCTGCAGGGGACAGACTCATTAAGGGGCTTGTCCAAGCAAGACATGAGGGAGAACTAACAAATCCTGGTGCTCACACCCTGTTTATACCCTATGCAATGGCAAAAGGAATGTAGAAAGGGGGTCAGGTTCAAGAGATTTTAAAAAGTCCAACAGTATGTGGGAGGTGGGGATCAGGGTGTGGGAGAAGTCATGTTATGTGGCTCAGGTTTCCAGTTTGGGAAGTGGACAGAGGAGGAAGTTAGAGGGGGAAGACATTGAGCTCAGTTTTTGATATGCTAAGTCTGAGGAACCCATGGGACATCCACGCAGGCCTGAGAATAAGTGGACAGATGGGAACGTAGATCTGGAGCTCATGAGAGGCTGGGCAGAGGCTGCAGGGGAGGATTTGAAAGTCATTTGAAAGGATGATGCTGGGGTGGGAATGAGGTCACTCTAGAAGACTCTGGAAGAGAATGCAACATGAGGAGGTAAGGGGAGTTGGCAGAGAAGGAGGAAGTGCCCACCAGAGCCTGGGGTGGACAAATCAGAGAGGAAGAGAGGAAACAGAATGAGGAGGATACCCGAAAAACCAGGAGAGGCTCAAGGAGAAGAGGATACACCATGGGGTAAACGCTGTACAATGTTCAGGAGAAACCAGGACCCAAATCAAGTAATTTCATTTGGTAGTTAGTGGAGAAGGACCTACTAGACTGTAATGTATAAGTGAATGGGAGTTGAGACAGTGGAGGGGGCCAGCAAAAGGAGACTCCAAATTCCAAACTCCAAACTCACTGCCATCGAGTTGATTCCAGCTCATAGAAAATCTGTATAGAGTTTCCGAGACTGTAGATCTTTACGGGAACAAAAAACCTCATCTTTCTCCCACAGAGCAGATGGTGGGCTTGAACCTCTGACCTTGAGGTTAGCAGTCAAGTGCTTATCCTAGAGCACCACACTAGGACTACTTAAGAGTAGACTGTTGTTGTTGTTAAGTGTTGTTGAGTTGGTTCCAACCTATAGTGACCTTGTATAGAGTTTCTGAGGAATAGATGGTGAGCTTGAACTGCCAACCTTGTAGTACAAACCGACTTTGCAGTCCAGTGCATTAACCCGCAGTACCAGGCCAGGACGCCTAACAGCAGACTATTCATATTTAAATACATTCTTGGTGGCAAGTGGAAGAATGGAAATAAGACATCTTATTACTAAAGGGTACGTGGTACAGGAAGATTTTTCTTTTAAAACAGAAGAATCTAATTGTATTTGTGGGGTTAGAGGAAGGAGTAAAGAGAGAGACTATGAGAGAAAAAACTATAAAGATCTGTGATCCAGTGGCCAGGATTTTTTCAGCGAGAGTAAGACCTGTAGAATTCTGTCACATGGACAGAATTCACATGCCAGACAGTAACGCAATACAGCACCGTGCCTGCTGTAATATCTAGAGCAAAGTTTACAACTAACATGTCTCTGCAAATATCAAATGTCACACTTATAAATAATAGGTGTATGAAATGAAAGAGGTTCATATTCTTTTGCCTGCTTTAATGGCACGGGATTGGACAAGATACCTTTTTGAAGTAATTTCTAATCCTATTAAAAATGTATGGCTCCATGTATTTTGATACTTTTTATGGAATTCATAACTCCTTTATCATTATGGTTCTTGGTGAAATGCTCAGTGGACTTTCCCCAGTTTTCTTAACTATCTGCTTTTCCTTGCTGTTGTTGTGAAGTGCTGTCAAGTTGGTTTCGATTCATGGTGACTCTGTAAAGGGTTTCTGAGATTGTACATCTTGGCAGGAGCAGAAAGCCTCATCTTTCTCCCATGGAGTGGTTGGTGGACTTGAACCACCAATCTTGTGGTTTGCAGTCCATTGTATGCTCCCTTCTGCTCTTCCTAGAATATCCTTATTTTCCAATCTAAACTGAATTCTGCAGCAAGTTCCATATCAGTCATGGTGCTCACACCCTATTTATACACACCAGATAAAACCACTTGTTGTTAAGTGCCATCGAGCTGGTTCTGAACCATAGCGACCCTAGGGTTTCCAAGGAGCGGCTGGTGAGCTTGAACCGCCGACCTTGCAGTTCAAACAGCTTTTCAGTGTGGCGCATTAACCCACAGCGTCACACCAGGACTCCTGATAAAGCCACTAGATTACATGAAATACCCAAGTTGAGGCTTCACATTTTTAGATCAACTCATCTTACTCGTTCGTTCTTTGGCTCCCTCTCAGTAGTATTCTACTGCTTGCTACCTGCTCCTCCCCAGACAATCTGTTGTGTTGGTACTAGTGAATACTTTGGTTTTTCAAAAAAGAAAATCGACCTTGAGTAAAATTCAGTGAAGTAAAATGTGTTTTCAAGTACTGTCTCTTGACTTTGGAAAATAATCAATAAATCTTTTAACTTCAAGTTGTCCTAAAACATGTGGTTCTGGGGTTTACCTGAGTCAACGGTATAGAAACTGTTCCAATGACAGGTCACCCTGAGAAACTGGGAGACTTCTACAACTCAGTGTGTGAAATCCCTTAGGTATTTGTCAAATTTAAATTCTAGTAAGATATTAGTGCTGAGATGAAGGGGTTAGAAAAATTCTCTAGCATCGGCATGTACCAGTGGCCTGGATAATATAGCTTCAAAAGTAGTAAAATACTTAAAATTCTTACCACATAGATGAGGAACTTCCAGCCAACAAAGTAATACTGTATTGTTCTTGCTGAGATAGGCTGAGTTACATTTGGAGCAAAATTCACCAATAAATATGTTCCTGCAAATGCCAGTGTCATACCTTTAAATACAATGGAAAAGATAAAACCCAATTAAAAAGGAACTTAACCTTTTTTGAGGCTAACATTATCTATAGATAGAGCATTACTTGACAAAAGTGCCAAGTGGACAGTCCCTTTGTATGACAATACAACTCATCAAGCTATCCCTAGGGTGCACCCGCACTGACCAGATAGCATTTGCTTTAGTGGGAGATGAGGGATAGGAGATAGAAGGGATAGGACATAATTGTATGAATTCTGTTTTTTCTCTTTTGTTCTCCATGAAACCTGATCCCTCAGGGATGCTTCCCTAAAATAAAGAAGATCAGAACTTGTGCCTGTGGAGAGGTAAAAATACATCCAATTGGCTGTTTGTTCCAGAACCATGGGAGCCACTAAGTGGATGGTAGCCACGGGTGCCCTGGTCATCGACATTGCAGACATCAAGAATGATCTTACACATACTTGGAGACTTTAGACATAATTGGGTGGTTTTACACTTTGAAACTCTGATAAATGAGCCACTTGTTGTTGTTGTTAAATGCCGTAGAGTTGGTTCCAACCCATAGTGATCCTGGTGAGGAGAGGCTGGTGAGCTTGAACCACTGACTTTGTGGTTCAAACTGACTTTGCAGTCCAGCACATTAGCCCATAGCACCATACCAGGACTCCAGATCAATGAGCCCCTTAGTCAACGCCATTTATTGGCAACTCATAGGATAAAACACTGAATCACAAGGTCGGTCTGAACTGAAAGTTTGGCAGGTCAAACTCACCAGTCGCTCCTCAGAAACCCTATACAGCATCCTTATGAGTTAGTATCAACTGAAGGACACTTAACAACAACAATAACAACCATTAACAGTACAGCTAGAAAGCACCTTAGAAGCCAGGATGATGAGACTCTGTACTTCGGGCATATTATCAGGAGGGACCAGTCCTTGCTTGGTAAAGTAGAGGGTCAGTGAAAGAGACCCCCAATGAGATGGCTTGGCACAGTGGCAGCAGCAATGGACGCAAGTGTAACAATACCTTTGAGGATGGCACAGGGCTAAGCAGTGTTTCATTCTGTAGTGCACAGGGTTGCTATGAGCCAGAGAGGACTCTATGGCACTTAACAACAACAACCATTAGCAGAAATAATGAAGGTAAACACTGATTTTGCTGTAGGATTTCTTTTTACCCAATCTAGAACTCCAGGGTTACTTTAGTAAAAACCACATTATAGCCAATGTAAGGAATGTACCACTGTGTAAGTGTAAGTGAGGAGTGGTAAGAACACATTTACATAACACTGAAAACTGCTTCTTCTTGTTGTGAAGCCCCATTGTAGGGTTTTCAAGGAGAAGCTAGTGGGTTTGAGCACTAGCTAGCAGTCCAGTGCTTATCCTAAGGCATGACCCCAGGACTCCTAAAAATTAGCACCCATCCCTCCCAAGAAAACATAACCAAAAAAGCTGACATATGTAGCATTTTTCAGATTGTTGTTGTTTAGAGCCCTTGAGTCAGTTCAGACCCATAGAGACCCTATACAGGGTTTCCGAGGAGCGACTGGTGAGCTTGAACCACCGACCTTGCAGTTCAAACAGATAGCACACTTGAAAACGTAATTCAACTTGCTTCATCACTGAGGTCGGCATTGTTGTGTCAATAATTTGCAACCAGCATGAACTCCAAACTAAACAAGTTCACAATTTGAAGGCACCAGTCTCCCACTCTTCTAAATGGAGTGATTTAGACTTTTGAGCTGTAGTTTCTAAGAATACACAACATTTGAATTTTCACACCAGCTAGATGTCCCTCAAGTAAATGAGAAGCTGTGAGTGTGTTCCTTCTAGTATAACAATTTATTCTATAATGCTTTGTGAAGGCAGAAATTATGTACATAAAATAGAAATTATACACATAAATTTAAAAACTTTAAAAAATGGCTATATATAAAAGCTATTTATAATGAGAACTTTTATAATGAAAAACGGTATCAATTATTAAGCATTGTAAGACAAGCAAAATAATACTATATGAAAGAACTTGGAAGAAAATGCTGTTCAGCCAGGTTTCTTGGGGGAAAAAACAGATCTTGTAGAATTCAAAATCAGGTTCTTAGCAGCAAGGGATTTTAAATAAAACATTCTAAACGTGGCCTGAAAAAGGTAGCATAAACACACCGAATATACTTTAAAAGGAGTCCTGGTGTAGTGCTGTGAGTTAATGTGCCAGACTGCAAAGCCGTTGGAACTGCAAGGTTGGTGGTTCAAGCTCACCAGTCGCTCCTTGGAAACACAATACAGGGTCTCTATGGGTCGCAATTAACTCGAAGGCACTTAACAACAACAACATACATTAAATACTCTCAGAGATTTCCAATAATGAGTAAAAAGTTAAGTCTTCCTTATGAGGAGAAAAAGCTGCATACATCCGTTAAAAATCAGAACATGGAATGTATGAAATATGAATCTAGGAAAATTAGAAATTGTCAAAAATGACATGGAACACATAAAGATCTATATCCTAGGCATTGTTGTTGTTGTTGTGTGCTGTGGAGTTGGTTCCGACTCATAGTGACCCTGTACAGGGTTTCCGAAGCTGTAAATCTTTACGGAGCAGAAAGCCTCATCTTTCTCCTGTGGAACAGCTGGTAGTTTCAAACTGCTGACCCTGAGGTTAGCAGCCCGATTTGTAACCACAACGCTACCAGAACTCCTTTATCCTAGGCATTAGTAAACTGAAATGGACTGGTATTGGTCATTTTGGATTAATTGCATGGTTTTCTATGCCAGAAATGACAAATTTAAGAGAAATAGCAATGCATTCATATTCAAAAAGAGGATTATAAGGTCTATTTGAAGTACAATGTTGTCTGTGATAGGATAATATCCATATGCCTACCTGGTGTGGTGCTGCAGGTTAATGCACTGGACCTCAAGGTCAGTTTGAACTGCAAGACCTGTAAAAGGTAAAAGGGCAAGACAAGAAAGAAGGAAAAGTACAAAATGGATGTCAGAAGAGACTCTGAAACTTGCTCTCCAGCAGAGATGCTAAAGTGAATGGAAGCAATGAGGAAGTAAAAGAGCTGAACAAAAAATTTCAAAGGGTAGCCCAAGAAGACAAAGTCAAATATTATAATGAAATGTAAAAGACTTGGAGTTTTCTAAAAAACCAAAAGGGAAGAACAAGCTCAGGATTTCTCAAGGTGAAATAAGTAAAGAAAAAATTCAAGCTTTGACTTGAAATACTGAAATTCTATGGATTATATATTGAATGATGCAGAAAGCATCAAAAGGAGATGAAAGGAATACCAGAGCCACCATACAAAAAGGAAATGGTTGATGTTCACCCATTTCAAGAGGCATCATATGATCAAGAGCCAACGATACTGAAGGAAGACGTCCACAGTGCACTGAAGGCACTGGCAAAGAACAAGGCTCTGGGAATTGATGGAACACAAATTGAAATATTTCAATAAACTGATGCAGCCCTGGAGGCATTCATTCATCTATGCCAAGAAATTTGGAAACAGGTACCTGACAAACTGATTGGAACAGAGCAATGTTTATGCCCATTTCAAAGAGAAGTGAATTAATGGAATGTGGAAATCATCGGACAATATCATTATTATCAGATGCAAGAAAAGTTTTTCTAAAGATAATTAAAAACGGTTGCAACAGTACATTGACAGGGGGCTGCTAGAGGTTTAAGTCAGATTCAGACGAGGACGTGGACCCAGGGATATCATTGATGACGTCATACGGATCTTGGCTGAAAGCAGAGAATATCAGAAAGATATTTAGCTTTATTAACTATGTAAAGTCTTTTGACAGTGTGGATCATGACAAGCTATGGACAACATTGTGCAGAATGAGCATTCTGGAACACTTAATTGTGCTCATGAGGACCCTGTACATAGACCAAGATGCAGTCATTCGAACAGAAGAAGGGGACACTGGGTATTTTAAAATCATGAAAGTTGTGTACCAGGGTTGTATTCTTTCACCATAGTTTTTCAATCTGTATGCTGAGCAAATAATCTGAGAAGCTGGATTATATGAAGAAAAACATGATGTCAGGATTGGCGAAAACTTATTAAAAACCTGTGATGTGCAGATGTTGCCACCTTGCTTGGTGAAAGTGAAGAGGACTTAAAACACTGATGAAGATAAAACACCACAGCTTTTAGTATGGGTTGTACCTCAAAGTAAAGAAAACAAAAATCTTCACCACTGGACCAATAAATAATATGATAAATGGAGAAAAGATTGAAGTTGTCAATGACTGCATTTTGCTTGGATCCACAATCAACTCTTATGGAAGCAGCAGTCGAGAAATCAAACAATATATTGCATTAGGCAACTCTGCTGCACAAAACCTCTCTAAAGTGTTCAAGAGCAAAGATATCAGTTTGAAGCCCAAGGTGCACCTTACCCATGCCATGGTACTTCCATAACCTCATATGCATGTGAAAGTTGGACGATAAATAAGGTAGACTGTAGAAGAATTGATATATTTGAGTTATGGTGTTGGAGAAGAATATTAAAATTACCATGGACTCTCAGATGAACAAACAAATCTCTGTTGGAAGAAGTACAGTCAGAATGCTCCTTAGAAGACAGGATGGCCAGACTTGGTCTCTCATACTTGGAACATATCATCAGGCGGGACTGTACCTGGAGAAGTACATCATGCCTGGTAAAGTGGAGGGTCAGTGGAAAAGAGGAAGACCCCAACAAAATGTATTTGCACAGTTGCAGCAGCAGTGGTCTCAAATGTAACAGTGATAGTGAGGTTGGCACCATTGGGCGGTGTTTCGTTGTATTGTGCATTGTCGGGGACCTGCCTCGACACGGGAGTTTGGTTCACGAGGTGGGGATACCTGGCGGCGATAGGGATAGCACAAGAGAAGACAAAGAGACACAACAAGAGAGACAAAGAGACACCCTGAAACCAGAGTGGACGCATTACTGGCGTCCAGCAGATCAGGCGTGTAGCACACTCTCCAGTCTGTAAAGCACAGCCTACAAGC